TTTCTCACCACGTCGCCGCTTGCAATGAGGCGACCCCCCCCATCTCAGAAGCACCCCGGCCTCCTTCGGGGGGGGGGAATTCGGGGGGTTTGGAGTCCACACATCTTCAAGCAGCCAAGGTTGAGAAACACTGCTCTAGAGAAGCCTCTCCCAAACCTGATGTTCTCCAAATGTGTGGGACTTCAACTCCCGTTATCCTCAGCCTGAGGATTATGGGGTGGGTCCTACATATCTGGAAGGCTTACGAGGAAAGTAGCTTACGGGACAAAACAGACATGATGTTCATTTTTTCACCGAAGGTGCCTAAGATTGTGCTTGAAGAAACGACAACTTGCCCTAAACAATACCTCTCTGAAGCTACATGGACTAATTGGGAAGTCTTTGTTAGTGCCAACGGCAGCTGTTCTCTGAAGGCAAACTGCAGCTTCAAACACATCTTTATCCCAGGATAAAGATGGTTTCTCTGCAGCTGCGGATTCCAGAAGGTAGAAAGTGCAGTTGATTGCTTTTAAGACAACATGCTCATGCTTTCTTTGGCTCTTTGGGGGCAGAGGGCCTATCTTGAAGGTCCCAGGTCAATTTTCATTTCCCCCTAGCACATCTACTACCCAGGCCTGTTGGGGTCTCTAGAAAGCTGTTACCACTGAAATAAAGATCTGGGAGAGATTGAGGTAGCAGGGCTGTTCAGCCATCTGAAGGGCAGTGTGTTTTAGAGCATGTGGGGGCTCCAAATCACTTGCCCCAATCCATATTTTGCCCGAGTTTGGCTGTCTCAACAGCCCTTCTCTCTGATATGGAGCTGAAAAGACTGAAAGGCCAGAAGGACCTTTCTAGGAATAGAACTTGCTTGTCACACAAAGAATGGACTTTGCTGCTTCCAAATCATGCATCTTGGGAGTCTTTGGCCCTCCGCTGTGCTTCTGTAGAGAGCCTCGGAGGGGCCCTCAGAGAAGCGATGCGGAAACGTTTACCAAAACAAAGGCGTGCTTTATGTCTGCGAAACAGGAAAGTGTGAGAAAGAAGCTCACGATCCTGTTGGTCACCGACTCTATTTGATTAATAAATAAAGAAGCACAGACTGGCTCCACCTTAATTCACTGGGGTGTAAGAGGGAGGGAGGGGAAGGCACAGCCAGACTTTCAAAATTTGGTTACTAGAGTCTTGATCAATAAAGTAGAGATCCAGTCAGACTTGCGGAGTCTGTTTCCTGACCTGGCCTACCTCAAGCAGCCAAGAGCTACATTTTCATCATGGTTAACTGAATCAAACATAAAAGGCATTACTCAAGCCATGGTATTCCCTGTGACACTCTGTGGAAGCAACAGTTGGATTTTGAGAAGGAGGATAGAAAGAGTATTGATGCTTTTGAACTTTGGGTTGGAGAAGACTCCTGAGAATATCGTGGACAGCCAAATAAACAAGCAAATGGATCATCGAACTAATCAAGCCAGAGTTCCCACTCAAGGCACAAATGACCAGGCTCAAATTATCCTACTTTGGACACACTGGGCAAAGACCCAGCTCTCTGGAGAAGGCTCTGATGCTGGGAAAGGTGGAAGGATAGAGGAGAAGAGGATGATCAGCAGCAAGGTAGATGGACTCAGTTGCAGTAGCGATGAATGTACCAGTGGAAGACCTGAAAGATCAGGTTAGGGACAGATCATCATGGGGAAAATCTATCTATGCAGTCACTAGGAGTAGAAAACAACTTGATGGCACATAATCAATCATATTCACACAACAAGCTAAACCATGTTTTGATAAGCTACAAGACGGGGTTGACAATGCATGCCAAGCCCAAGTCAAATTAACCATTCGGTTTCACTTGATTTAGCATCTCCCAGTAAACAGCATCTGGGCTAAGGTGCTAAGCAGGACCAGGTTTAGGTACTCCTCAGAGAGAAGGCTTTCAGGAAATCCCAGGGCCATGTAGGCTAGGCTGGGAAGTTGAAAAAAAAATATCCTGCAAGAAGGCAACGCAAGCCGCGGAAGTACTGTTGTCATGACATGACTAGTGGTCAACTTCAACTCAAAGGAGACATTATTTTAGAAGTATTAATGTAATATTTCCTCAAGTCAAACACAGAAGGGGCCCCCTGCCTTTTAATTTCAGAGTATAATTCCACTGTACACAATGGAAGTTTTAGGAACTTCATTTGCAAAATCGTATGGGCTTAAATCTTTATTTATTAATTTATCTGAAGCCTGAAGATTTAAGAGCATGCCTTTAAAAAGCAACAAGACAGAGTCACAGGAGTAGGCAACCCAGAGAATTTTAAATGACTGTATGCATGTAGTTAGCTGTATAATTAGCCACATAACTCAAGCGTGCAACCCTTGTCCGACTGACTTTGCTACACTTAAGCGAAACGTTTCGGGCGTGAGACATCCATCATCCCTTATCAGGAAAACAGGCCTGGGAATTGCAGCAGCAGAACTAACTATTAATTCTTTGAAAAGCAATTTTCAAACTACATTTTAATGTGCTATTTACAGAAGCTTCTCTCTGTAAGTCTTGCCGTACCCCGGGATGCAAACCTTATGCTTGTTACTTCAAGCAGGGCCCAAAAAATATGGAAATGAACTCAGGGTCTTACAAGACAGCTTTGAAATAACTGTGCAGTTGTACCAGGAATCAGGCATCATCAACAGATCAGCAGGAATGGCTCCTTGAAAGAGTCTAAATGTGAAGTCTGAAAGCCCCAAAGAATTCCTCCTCCGTTCACCCAAGGAAAAATAAAACCTTCAGAGTTTCCATCTCTAAGCCAGTATATACTTTCATTGCTTGTCCTTTAGCATCAGTATCACTAATCTGACTTAATCATTAATATATTGCCCTTTCGCTGAACAGAGCAGTGGACAAAAGAATAAATGTGCAACATCGCCGAACAACAGTGGAAGTATCTGACAAAAGCTGAAGAAAATCCCAATCTATATATGCACCAAGAATAGTCACATGAGAGACATCCATTTAAGGAATATTGATTCTATGGCAGAACTGCTTCAGAAACACCTCTGTGAACAGATATATCTTTCGTTGTTGTCTAAAACTCAACAATTGGCACTTTCTCAGAAAGGGATCTCACAGCTTTGGCACCACCACCAAGAAGGATCTATCTTGAGTTGTCTCACCTGTAATAACACAAGGAGGACTTCTGGCACATGGATAAATAGTTACTGGGGGAGGCAGACTTTAAAATACCTGGGCTCTGAATCATTTACAAACCAGCATCAATACATCATCGTTCATAGGTAGCCAGTGAAGCATTTTTGGAGCTGATGGTCTGTGATCCCACCTACTGATTCCATGCAGATCCCAAACTTCTCCCATTCCTTGAAGAAAGCTGCACCTGAGAACTTAAATGTGGCCTCAGGACCAAAGGTGAACTTCCAGATGCTGTTGAATTACAATGGAGGTCAATGGTGAAGGAAGGTGGGAGATGTAGTATGAACACAGGCAGGAAGCCCACAATTATCCCATTGCCAACCTACAATCAAAGGGAAACCTTCTGTAACCTTCTGCAGATACCCGGCAATTTGGGATTTTACACCATATCAATAAAGTTTTCAACTGGAAATTCAGTGGAAAATCCTGATTTGTGAGGGCTTGTGGAGATCAGTTTCTGCTGTTATCTTGAACTGTTACAAATTCTGTAGTTGCTTAATTTTTCTTTCTTTTGTTACTTGGCCTCAGAGACTTTCACTTTGGCCAACCAGAAGACATTGTAAACCAAGCTACCATCTCCCCAAGTATTTTCAAAACCGTTAGCAACATCTTTTTAAGCAGCAGATTAAAGAAAGATTTCAGCAGACAGGCCACCTAACAGCAACATTATGGTCCTTTCGGCATTGAGAAAGACCTTTTGAGTTTTTTAGGTATTTAAAAAAATCATTTCAATGTTTTTACAGCTTTAGTTGCTACTTTATAAATGTGATTTTATCTAGGTTAACGGCCATTATTACGGCGGCTTCTGATTTTTATCAGGTCTATTGTGACATTTTCATTGTCCATTTTTATACAATTTTCCCACTCTTCATTTTATCAGATTTTAAAGCATTTCACCCTAAAGTATTTTATTTGAAATTGACCGTAGATCAGCAACAGAGACCTGTTGCTATCGGGCAACCCCCCCCCCCAGGAATCTGGTAGCCCCTTTTTGAAAGTTTCTGCTTTTGAATATAATTTATGAGTCAGAAAAGGCGCTACCAGATTTCTGATTTCTGGCCACCGAGGACTAACACAGCTCTCCTCCTACAACATTACTGGGCAGCCTCACAACACAATTGATCGATCAATGTCCAACCCAGGTTTTGCCGCTTGCCAGCCTGCCTTTTCCTGCTTGCACAGGAATTGTAAGCAGCAGTTTAAATTCTAATTTAAACATCTGTAAGCCAGGATCCAAGGCCAGCAGAAAAACAGCGAATTGCCGATACGTACGGATGCAGAAGTCCCCACTTTCGTAATATCCTGGACAGCACTGGGACCGCCGCCGATACATCGTCCGCAGTCCCCTCCGATAGGCTGTTTTATAACTGATTCTAAATGGTGAGACAGAAAAATACCCACTGGAAATCAATGCCTATAGTTATAATTCTATTTGTGTTACATTACTGCAAGGTTGTTATGTTCAATACTTGCTTCAAAATGTGCAAAGGTTTTTGATATTTAAAAAGATCAATACAAATTTCAACTCCTACCATTCAGCTATATTCTAAGCAGTTTTCACTCTAGGTGGAAGAGAAAATGTGTGCAAGCAGGATGCAGAAAGGGGGGAAAAAGGAAGAATATATAAAACATCTTTCACCTAACCCTGGATATAGTTCTCATAAATAAATAGTTCTCATAAATTAACAGCAGTTCAAGATATTGTACGAAATACAGTTCCTCACCCCAACACAGATTTTTGCCACCTGGCCCAAACGTGGCATTTTATTAGCCTGCTCCCTGCCCCCTTGTTCCCCACCTGCTGAGAAATTGATGCGTTTCACACATCCACACATATGAATGTCTGGGTTTGGCATGAATGTTGTGTGAACCCAGCCAAAGGTGTTTTATTCAATAAAACATAATTAAGCAATATGTAAACCAAGTCACTGTAATATTGGTGAAAATGAACCATGTTATCTGTCCAACCCACGTGGCTTCCAGTTGAAACTATTCCTACAGCTGTGATGTAGGATTAATATCAGAGTGTAGGGAAGAGTAGCTATTCCCAAAGGTTGCCTTTAATTGCTCCAGGGTGTAATGCTAAAATATAGTTTTGATTGTTGTTCCCTGGATGTCTCACTTGCCAGAGCTGTGTCTTTCTCACCACTTGAGAAAACAAAGAAGCATTTTCATCGCTCAGACCAGGAGTGGCAATCCATGGTCCACGGTATGCATGGAGGTTCTTGGTATTCCATTGGCAGGTCCTAAAGCACCCAGGATGGTGCTGGAAAAATCTGGTACTAAAATCTCTGAATTCCAGTGGCACAATTTAATGTTATTTCCCCCTCCGCAAAAAAATAAAAATAAAATAAACATGGGAATGGAAGCAGGTCTCTGAGAGGTGAATGACTCCCATCCTCACCTCTGGAAATCTTGAAAACCTAAGAAATCACCCAAGGCTGGTTCATCAACATTTGGTGGTAAATTGGTCAAAGTGTAGCAGTTTTGATTTAGAAACAGTGAAATCTGCTTTTAAACCTCTTCCCCATTCCCACAGCGTCAGCAGAAAGCCTCCTGCAGTGCACTAGGGCAACTTATATGCACGAACAGATGTAATGACAGCCATCAACTTGCTGTTGTATCATCTCTAAAGAGGAATGATTGGACTTCATGATCCACACCATCAACAGCAAGCACAGACAGTTTACACCTGATTAGAAGAAAATCAGGACTCATTTAAGTCTGCTTTTATAACTTCTGCGGTTTAACCAGTTTCTTTTCAAGAGCAAGAAGGAAAGGAGGAGTGATCGGACTACAGACGTCCTTGTGGTCTTCCTTGCTTGCTCCCAACTTGACTGCAAATGCAAAACTTAAAGCAAATGTACTGCAAATAGGCAGGGCTGAGTTAGTCATCCTTTTACAAAAGCCATGACTATTTTCTTCTGAAAAATCAACGTTCAGTCTTTTTAATGCTGCTGAACTACTCTGCACAAAAGAACCTATCTTTATCCTCCGTAGCTGAAGAGCATTATCCAGGCTCAGATGAAAAGGGGGTGATACAGAGAAGATGAAATGGCAGGAAAGGTTTGAAATACCTTCCAATTGTCACTCACCTGTGTCGAGTACACTTGAACCAGTTCAGAATATCTGTGCATCTTGTATAATAGATCTGATCAAAGGGATGTGCGTACGATTCCTGAACAGTCACGGCGTAGCTAGAAGGGAAGAGAAAGGAATTGTTTACCTGTGAAAACTGCCCCTCTCTATGTAACTATTAAAAGCCCAGATCCACACACTACGTGGCCAAGTTTGGTAAATATATTAAGTAAATAAAGACAATTATAAAAGTATTAACATTGATACACTCGCTTTATTTTTTTAAAGAAGGGATTCCACAGTGGTTAACAACAGAGATAGGCGATCTCTTGGTCATTCAGCATCATGTTTAATATTGAGGGGTGATGGAGGTGCACAGCGAATGGGGCAACGATGCAAGGTGGTGTCAAGTGTGTCTGGGGGGTATGCAAACTCTGCAAAATAAAGGGCAGGGCAGCACAAAGTTCTACCCTTTTTGTATGGGTGGGTGCATGCACAAAGAGGCAGACCTTTGATCATGAAGCTTTGATCCTGCCCATCAGATTACAGGGAACCCCCTGAGGCCCCCCAAGGACCCCCCTGTGGTGGACGGAGCTGTATCATGTACATTGCCCAGGATTCCACATCTTTTCCACCTGGGGGAGGAGAATCTTACATACATGATATCTCTTTTAGAGTTTACACCACAAGCACAATTTTACTAGGGAAGGGTGAATATGTCAGTTTTACTTTCTCTGTTTCCCACTTCTACGAATCTTTCAAACTCAGCGTTCCTCAGTTTTTCAGAAGTGTCAAGTCAGATTAGAAAACGACAACTGCACTAAAGGGTCTGTATTTCAGTATATTTCTCCAAACGTGACTTTTTGTTTGTAGTTTTGTTGATAAGATTCATTACGGGTATTTCTACGTCACTCCACTCCAAAATGGCTCTAAGCTTAATTAAGCATAATACACTTCTGCAAACTGTTCCACTTAACATAATATATTTTGTCCTATATCTTCATGACTATATGCCCAATCTGTACAGATTGATCCCTAATCTTTTTTTTTTAATTAGTAAATTGCAGTGCAAAATTTGGTTTTGATACTTGTTTCGAATCATGGCTGGAGGACAGCCGTTACGGTCTACGGTAGCAAAACTTAAAACTTTGGTCGTGCCTTTTCCAACTAACATTTTAATAATCATAAACAAGCAATAATAACATCTGTTAGATGGAAAAGACGCTACCAGATTTTTCTGATTTTTTGGGGGGAGGGGGTATTGGTTCAAAAATGTTAATGGCGATATTTTCCAATTCCAGTAAGAACCAAATAGATTTCTCCTCCATCTTTGAAGTTCTCTGCTAATTTTTGGCAGCGGCACCACCACCAAAATTGGGTTTTGGGGTCTGAGAGGGTTGAGAGGGTCAGAATAAAAGAAATGAAAGGCGGTGCAAATCCGGGGGTCACCTGTTTCTCATTCCTGCTTTGCAGTAATGGGGGGGGGGGGGGGAACCAGACAGGACATTTATAGATTGGCAATGAAAACGGAAGATTTAAACCTCCGAAAACAAACGTACTTAAATCACCTCAGTCAATGAAAAGGTTTTCCCGGCCCCGAATCTTAAAAACTGTGCTGAATATGGGAGGTGCAGCATTAGCTCCCCTGCATTCCAAGTGCTTTTGGGGTGACACCGGCCTCCTTTTTGACAGAGGGAGCCTTCAGTGAAGGGAATGAATGGAGGAGAAGACCCCGACTTGACTCTTCAGTTTTGGAGTTGCGAGACAGTCCCACCCGAGCCTGGCAGCCCTGCTCAAAAGGCGAGTGGCGGGGAGGCTTTGGGGAGGGAGATGAAAAGGGCCTTCTGGGGTAGACAGACTCGTCCAGCATCCAGTCCACAAGCACAGCGGGCGGACCACAAAAGCAGGGCACGATGCGTATTACCAGATGCTGGAACAGTGGTTTTCCCAAGAAAGTAACTCAGCTATGAGTTCATGAAGAGCTCATGTAGACAATCAAGTTATCTCACGACCAAGAACTTTGCTCCCAACAGCCCCGTGCGAAGGAAAATGGTATTTATTTTCACTCATTTGTTTTAAAAAAATCACACACGGATATAGGCAGAATGGGACAAACTGGTTCATTGATGTGATTTCACAGAAAGCCACTACTCCGTATAAAAGAATGGATCAGCCAACTTTCAGTCTTCCAGGACTGATTAGAATTGGGATTCCTTTAAGTCTTCTTGGCCTCCAAGGAACAAATCACCGATATATTCCATAGCTGGCATTCAGTCAGCAGAAATAATATTGCTGTTCATTAATAAATATCTCCAAACAGATAATTATAAAATTGCAATTAATTTGGGTACCTCTCACCATTACAAATATTTTGATAAATTCTGATCTCTTAGGATAACATAAAGAAATATGCCCTTTCAAAGAAATAAACCAAGCTGTGTTCTTAACTAATGGCCACGCAAATTGTGATTACTGACCTGTAATTAAATGTTGGGGGGTTCTGTCTCCTAAAGCACATTTCTAGGGGCTTCCCAAAAGATTGAGTTCAGATCTCAGTATGAACTTCTGATATTCAATTTTTGAACCAATTCATGCATTAAAATTCATTCTTCAAAATTACACTTTGAATTTTTCAATGCAAAAAAAATATGTTGATAAAAGAAAGGCCTGCATAAAAATGCATATATTCACAAAAATCATTCAAAACATGCATTATATTGGGCAGAGTTCCTTGCAAAACGATGTACTTTAGGCAGGTAGGTAAACAAAAATATATATGTTTCAAAAATGTACAAAAATACACTCACATTTTAGAATGATTTTTAACAGGCATGCAAATGAGGACTAAAAAAATAAAACAATAGCTGTGTTTTGAATGGATTATTTCATTCTTGCTTTTACTGGATGTGAAACTCTCTTAAAAATTCTTTCTCATAAAAAGCACTATAGAAATAATTTTAAGAAATAAACAGTAAACAAGAAAGAAACTGAGAATAATACTTTTGCAAAAATGTGAAACGGAGAAACTAAAATGAGCAAATTCTCAAACATGGGAAACCAGGAGAAGTTAAAAAAATAACAGATTTGTCCCTCCTGTGCATTGAATCTGGAGCAAATGTCTCCACAGTATGGAACAAAAAAAAGGTCAAAAGATGCAAAAAAGGAGCTTTGGAAACAACAACAATGCTCATGAAAAATACAATTGAAATTAAATGCCTTCAAAATATATATTTTTCCCATGCCCTTAAATAAAAGCATATTGGATATTCTATCTCCAGGGATTCTTCTGTTTTACTTGGGTACAAAAAATGCTAATTAAAAGCACATATTAACATAATTCCGTGGAGCCTTCCCAGCCTAGCCAGATTTCAACCACTTCATTTTTATGATATAGGAGCAAGCATTTGAAATGACAGGCATACCCATCAATGGAAAGATATGCCGTTCTTTTTATTTATTTAAATATTTCTAATATATATATATATTAGAAGAGAAGTCTCTGGGGTTTGATTTTCTACTTTGGCTCATTTGTACACAGAAACTGTTTTAATCTAAGATAATTTGTAGCAGAAATTAGCTGGTAATTGAGAATCATAAATTGTGAGCTAAGCAGTGGGTGTTCGCTCCCCCATCTGAAAAACTTTTCATCTTCTGT